ATTCCTTTAACTTCGCTTAGCTAGCTTAGTCTAGCAATAGTATTTGAACACTTCTTATTAGGTGAACTATTTTTCCAATTTTAAGCTCAGGACACAAAAAAATTTTGAATGATTTAGAAAACACTTTGTCAAAATTGGCTAGTTAAAAAGTCGAAATTTGTCTGAAGAAAAAAAAACACCCTGAGCACAAATATTCTGTTACTTTCGTTACGAAAGCCGGAACAATTATACTCATAAAATGTTGGTTATCAAATCAAGTTTGTCTAAAAAGCCACACCAAAAGCACCATCATTCAATTCTTTCTTCAAAATCAAGAGAAAATTAATTTGCGAGAATTTTTAAGCTGAAAAACTCTATAAGCATTAACATTGATAAGACATTTTTGTTGCATTTCCAAAGACAGAGGCAAATCGGAGCTTCTCATCACTTGCGATAACACAAGACACTAGACGAAAGAAGAGCCACTAAGTCCAGAAAAAATGAAAAAACTTTCAAAGAACCACAATTAAAAAAACTTCAAAATGTTGTCTAGAACCTTCTATTTGCGCAAATTAGTTCAAGAAACACATTCGACGACTCTTTAAAAAATTCACCATAGAAGCGAAGATGAGCTTCGCTCCACTTGCAATACAACACAAATATAAAAAGGCTTGAATAAAAAAATAGTAAATATTAAAAAAAGTTAGGTAACTAAAATTTTCGCATGTCTCAACAAAAACCAATCAGGGTCCCAGCTGAAGCTTGAGTTTCGTGTTTAATATTGGATGAGTTTGCTTTACTGATGCGGCATCAAAATTTATGGATTGAAATTTCGGTTTCTGCCCCCAAATTCCTAATTGTTTCTCTACTAAAAAAGGCGAGAAGAGCAAAAAAAAGTTGAGATAAATATTTTTCTTAACGAGATAATATTTCTCATACAAGCAATTAAGAAGTCATCGCTTCTGCAGGATCAATTATCGCAGTTGGTTCTTTCAATTGAATTTTTCGTCCCAGATAAGATTTTTTGAGTTTTTAGAAAATTCAAAACTTTCTAAAAACGGTCAAAAGTCTCTCCAAAATCCATAAATTTTTTTCCATAATCCATTAGCTAAGAAAATATGATTTCCAAAACCGGGTTTCTCGATTGAACACAACCCGAGAATTGGCACAATGGTTTTCGCGTAAAGTCAACTGGTTTCCAAAAATTTATCAAAGTTTCAAAACACTGACTTCTTTGAAATCAACATCTTTCCTCTTAAGCAAACTGGACATAGTCAATTATAAAGGTAGGACTTTCAACATCCTCTTGTTTCGATTAAACATTTGAAATCAGGTTTGGCAGGTAGTTAGCAAAAACGATCAACAAATAAAAAATTTGACAATTCTGAGAATCATACCTTTTTTTAAAAGAAAGAAGGGCGTAGTCGTTTATGCAGAAGGGATTGATGCAACTTGTTATTTCGATTGAATCAAAAGTCTCAGATGTGGTAGAGTAGTTCTCGAGAAAAATCAAAAAAACTTGTAAAAAAGTACGGTCCAAAAATCAACTTTGACTTTTCCGAGGGCCATAACTTTTGGTGTCAACAAAACTTGGGTGTAGTCGCATAAGCCAATGAGCTCCCCACAACCCGCTGTTTCATTTAAACCCAAAATCTCAGACATGGCTGCGTAGTTTTCGAGAATATTCAAAAAGTTTAATAAACGGTCAAAGAATCAAAAATTTGACTTTTCCGCGGGCGATATTTTTTTGTGCTAAAACTTTTTGTGTATGGCTGCTAATACAGGGGAGCTTCTCCTGACCCGTTATCTCCACTGAACCCAATATATCAAGTTTTCGAGGAAAGTCAAAAAGGTTCAAAAAACAGTCAAAAATTTGACTACTCCTAGGACCATAACTTGAAAAAAAAAATTGGGTGTAGCCGCTTTTGCAGGGAGTTTTTCGAAACCATTCATTTCATTGAAAGCAAAAACTCAGCTTTGAGAGAGTAGTTTTTGAGAAAAAAAATTGAGTCCAATATTCCCGCTTAGACTTTTCGAACGCTGTAGACAGAGGGGTCAAGTAGAAACAGACTCTACGGGAGTACGCGGGAAAACAGGGGAGTAGGCGGTCTTTCAATTGATAGCCCTTTTATTGAAAATTAATAGAAGCTTCTGTGAAAAACTAAAAGTTTTTCAAAAATTATTGAAACAATTTCCATAGCAAAAAAAGCTTCAACAAACCGATTGATAAGCATTCAACAAATTTGAAAAGTGCAAAGGGAAATGCTAAAATTGTATTTCGTCCAAAACAAAAATTAGGTCATTAATCCAATAAAAAATGAGTTGAAATAATTTGGGCCGCGGGAGAAGTCAACGTTAGTAAAACTACAAATTGTAGGAACAAAATGGAACACCAAAAGTAAGGTTAGAGAAAAAAGCTTGAAGTAAACAAAACTAAGCCGACAACACATAAGCAGACAACTAATTGACCGACAAATTTATTTGAAACAGAATTTTTGACAAATAACAGGTCCCGGTGAGATTTGAGCCCAGGAGCTTTGCCGTCCCAGGCGTACTCGATACCTCCAGGCTAAGTTGACCGGGAAACCGTAGAAATCATTCAGAATCAAGATAGTAATGATTCAAGTGATTCTGTTAAAGAAGTTGGCCCGAAAAAAAGTCTTCATACTGGAATGATAACGCTTGCTAATGGCAATAGTAAAAACAAGTATCGAGCGAAAAAAAATGTTATCAAAAACAACTTTGAATAAAAAATTGTATTCTGAGAAATTTTGTATAATACGAAGTAAAACGTTAAAAAATTATGGTTTCTTTGAACGACTCAAAATTAAGTTAGTAAACAGATGAAATATGCCGATATCTTTTTGGCCAAAACCCTTTTCATGCAAAAAAACATAAGAAAAAAAATATACGACGTCAACGTTAGTAGAATTAAAAACTGCAGGAGTGAATGAAAACATAAAAAACAACTGCAATAAAAAACTACGTAAAAAGCTTAGATGTGGCAGTTAAATCTTAGATTGCAACAAAAACATATATCTGAACAAGGATAGCCGGTTACTGTGCAAGTAGCGCAGAATGTACCGACCATGGTCTTAAAAAAATGCAAACAAGTTTTTCAAACTATTGTCGGTTTTTTCGGCGTAGTCTGATGAAAAGAGCTGAACCAAAAAAATGGGAATTAGGCATATTCAATAACCAAACTAAGTTCAGCCATAAATTAAGCAAATTGAAAAACAATTATTGCGGAAATATTACAAGAAAAAATTCGAACTAAAACTTCCAAAAAGGCGCTAAAATACTCAAAGTAAGATAACGTTACCCAATTAAAACTGTTATACGTTTTAAGTTAAATTTTTGTAAAATTTCAAGGAATTAATCAATTTAGATAAAACTGCTCGCTTGCTTTATTTGCTCGAAATAAGACAAAAAATCAAAATTATCGAACCGTTTTTTTTTTCGACACTGGGAAAAACTTTAAATTTTTTTAATGCGGTTCGAATCAGAACTGTAAAAGCTGTAATACGATACATCACTCAACACTCACACCAGTCAGATGAATATTTGTGCTGCTTTATAATGCGTTGAAAACAAAAAATTAAAACACACCCGAATACCAAGTTCCTTCCCAAAGTCCGGTCGGAACGCTAAAAGCTTTGAAAAATAGATATTTTAGAAATTTTTTTGGTTTGTAAAATGATCCACGTAGTCAATTTTGAGATTTGGGTTTTTTGCATCTCCTTCTGGTTTTGTTGAGGAGCGTTCGAACATGATCATTTGGATACAGGTTTTTAGCAGTTACGGTAAAAGCAAGAGTAATTCGGAGTTCATGACAAAAAAAAATATCTGAAAAATCTCTTTGACTTTGTATGTAGTTTTTGTTTCTTAAATAACAAAATAGCAGTTTTCTGTGGCAAAGATTTTCGTATTATTACCTTTCGCTTGCAAGCTTACTAGTGTAAATAAATAATAAAATTAAAATAAATCTTAAACATATTTTTGCTGGGTCAGAGTCCATTCCCCGACCTGAAGATCAAGAGTCATACGTCCTCGTATCTACGCCATGAGCACTTGAAAGTTATCAAACAATAGCCAGAAATACAAGAGATGCGACTTTCTATGCTTGTAGTTTCCTTATACCCGTTATCTCCATTTAACCCACAACATCATTTTTGGGAATTCCGAAAACCCACAACATCATTCCGAGAAAAATCAAAAAGATATACAAAATTACACTATTCCGAGGGCCATAAATTTATGTGTAAGAAATTTTTGGGCGTACCCGCTAATTGAGGGGTGCTTTTCAAATCCGCACTCTTCATTGAAACCACAATCGCAGCCTTGTTTAGTAAATTTTGAGAAAATGAAACAAAAATCAAAAATATCGGTCAAATATTACCCCACACATTTTTCTCAGGGTGTAGACAAAGGGGTAAAGCAAAAAAAGAATAAGGATTTATGCATGCATACAAATGGTGTAGACGGTCTTTCTATAGATAACCTTTTTTTTGGAAATCGGTAAAAGGTAATTCGAGAAATCAATTTCTTTTTTTTGCAAAAGCCTCTCGAAAAAAAAATAAAATACAAAAAATCAATCGCATACATTTTCATAAAACCTATTTTTATCAAACAAGATTTCTAGGCAAATTACCTTTTAGATTTTTGAAAATTGTTGCCGCCCCAATTTATGCTACTCTGCTTGAAGTCTAGTGGGCTTTGAGTCAGGCACTTGCATCTGAGTCTCGGAACTCATCTAGTGCATTAATAGTTTTTTTTACTTCTAAGATTTCAACTTTAAAACCGTAAATTATAGAGACAGTAAAAATAAATATATTAAACAAATAATTCTTATGCTAGAGTAGCATTATAGAAAGTATCTAACACTATTTAATAACACGATCAACTATATTTACAAAATTAAAACAGAGGCGAAACTTCGCATCACTTGCGATAACTAAATTTCGAAAAAAACACATTTTGATATAAAGCTAAGCTTATACAAAGCACATTTATACCTGATTTTGAAAACACACCAAATTTCTAGTTGACAAAAAAAATTATCAACTCGCAAGTGGAAGTAAACACCAATTCAGCAGGGCAGCACTTTTCTTTCCAAACATCAATTTTTCATATTTGGATTTACCGATGTTAATTTGAAGTTACTTCGAATTTTTTACAGCAATAAATTTTTGCAGAGAAAATATCATCAAAATTGCTTTATTGGCTCACGGGACTTACACAACCATGCAGGCTGCTATTGATTCAGTTTTTCAGTTTATTTCAAATTATTCAATCATTTGAATGCATTTCCACGTGAGCAGGGAACTCTACAGTTGTGGAATTAGGCGAACATGAGTTTTTGGGAGGCAAGTCATGTGTGGTAGTGTCAGCTGGTCCTTGGCTGATGTCTGCCGTGTTCTGTGTCGTGGACCCATTTGAGGAGTCATCTATGGAAGTGAAGTGGTGACGGGAAGTGGGTTCGAACACACACGAACATGTATTGCAATGTCTGGAGTAAGGACGCGCATTAAACTCGGATTCTGAAGAACTGCCTAAAATAAAAATATATCTTCTTCGTTAAAAAATCATTTGACTTCAAAAATTATTTTTAAAAATCACGATACACCTGCTAACAAATAATTCACTCGAAAGAGAAATATCATTCAAGAACTTTTTTCAAGCCGCATGGGAATAATTGATAAACCAAGCATATAAGCAAGTGAAGAAACAAAATATGAATGATAAAAAACAAAACCTAGATCCAAGTGAGCCTCCCAGCAGTAATCAATTTACTCAAGTGCCTCTTAAATCAAATTTTTGCATAGCACCTACCAGACATTTTTAAAATTATTATACCTCCGTCATGCGGGTGGTTCACTCTATCATAACAATCCAGTGCCTCCTCTAGTTCAATGCACTTTTTGATCAAGTCCTCGCGACTCATTTCTGACAGACGCTCGTACTGAAACTGACTGTACTCTTGGGCGAACTGCTCTATAGCCGAGTCATTTATTCTCGACGTTGGGTAGTAGTCGCCTAGTTGTTCATAGTCGTTTCCGTCTCTTGACCGACTGCCTCCGTCTGAGTTAGGGGTTGGACAGGCTGAGATAGGGGATCCGTTGATGCCTCTTGGAAGAGGACTGTTGTGGTCGTTGATAATGAACTGGGTCGTGTTCGTCGGAGCAGTGGCCACTGATTCTGAAGTGGGATGATATGCTGACATCCTTGATCCTCCTGCATTCCCATTTTCAAGACCTCTTCCCTGAGCAGCTCGTCTTCTTCTTGGATGTGTCCGGTGCTTCCGCCTAATCACACACACTACACGTTATAAAACACTGCATGCATTTTTCACAAACGAAGTTATTTCAAGGCAAAACATGAGCTAACAGACATTTGGAGTCAATGAACGCAAAAAAAAAGGAAAATACTGAGTTGTTTTTTTTTCAAATATCATCTTCCGAATTTCGAAGAAAACAGATGACCTTAAAGCTCATTGAATTCCTAGTTCTTTAATAAAACTAACCCCATTTGAGAAAAATGGATCAAAGTTTGCGATAAAACTAACCCGATTTGGATAAAACTGACCTGATTTTGATAACAACCACTTTTTTGATGAAAACTAACCCGTTTTGAGAAATCTGGATTTTCATTTCGCTGAGAAAGCTGAAAAGTAAATTCCATTTTCGAAATTGAAAGTCGATCATGTGTTTCATGACCTTACACTTTTGCTGTTCGATAGTGGAGTTTGCCTTCCTTAAAACGGCAAAGAAATCAAAAGTCAAACCGCGAAAAAAAATTTGAACCTGAATTCATCAAGACCTATACAAGATTCTAAACTACGTCCATCAACTTTTAATCAAGTCGAATTCAACTAGCAACGGTATTTCAAGTACCAAGTAGGTAGCCGAGGCGGGAAAACTCAGTCACAGCTTTTTTGAACAGACAATGTTGAATGTCTTAAGAATAGGGGTTCAAAAAGTACTTTCGCTGCAATTTGCAGCGTGAGCGCATGCAAAATTGTCAGAGCTTGCTGGGCTCATGGTTAAGTGAGCAGCTCTAGTTCAACCTTGAAACAGCCAACTGACAGTAATGAACGCAAGGAAACCGAAAAAAGAACTTTCGAACTTAAAAAAAATATATATATGCCATTGACGCTGTTTGAATTTCATGAAAAATTCATGCTTGGTGCACTTTTGATAAAATTAACCCAATTTGAGAAAGCTGGATCAGCAGGTAAAATATTTATTTCGCTGAAAAAACTAATAATTAAATTCCAAAATTAGAAGTCGATCACGTTTTTTGCGACCTTAACATTTTTGCTGTTCGATAGTGGCATTTGTCTTCTTTTTAACAAAAAAAATGAAGTCAACTTAAAAAGAAATCAAAAGTCAAACCGCGAAAAATCTAAATTGAACGAATTTTTAAGACCTTTTCCTGAAAACGTTCAACACTTTAATAAATGATCACGGCTCCCACATTTTTCCAAACTTAAAAACTATTTTAACGCTGTCATAATGCAATGAAACTTCGCATGGTGAACAACCTAAACTTTCTGCATACCTTATAATCGTAGCACGTATTTAGCCATTAAAACATGTCCAAGATTATAAAAACAGAAACATTGAAATGAGGGAGTGAAAAAAAGCTATAATCAGTGACTGGATGACTAAAGAGAGCCAAGAAAAAAAATTTATATTTTAATGCCTCAGGAACAAAGTTCACTAAACAAAAGTTATCAGTTCCTAGCAACTAGTAACGTCTTCATTAAAAAAAAAGAGTGAAAATTCACTTCATTACTTTCAAAAAAAAAAGAATGTCATGAATCCTGAAAGTACAGTGAAAAAACCTCGAGCAGCAATCTATTTTTTTTCTGTCCTTAAAATTTTAGGGTACAAATTTTGTTCTTGTCATTGCCAAGAAAATTTGATGCGGTAACTATGTTAACAAAATTTTAGATTCCTTAAACGCCCAAATGTTTTCGCCAAACAGAAATATTATCTCGCTATCGCAATTAATTTCCAAGTCGGTATTTCAAAGATTCATAAAATAAAACCCAAGCAAAAACATAATTTGAATCCAGTAGGACAATTCTTGGGACCATTAGCTGATTCCATTTCAATTCAAAAGATTATTTGAGCAGATAAAAGTGAAAATTGTAGAAGTAAATATAACACAAGAAGCAACAAAAAATAAAAATACACGCAGCAAAAAAAAACTCCAAGATGCGACAACAGATAAGCAGACAAATAATTGGCCGATAATTTTATTTGAAACAGAAAAAAAAACAGGTCCTGGTCAGATTCGACCCATGACTTTTGCGTCCCAGGCACATTAGTTACGTCCAGGCTAAGTGGGCCGGAAACGCTAAGAAATTTGAATACATTATGAAACAAGGTAGATATGAGTCCAGACGATTCCTGTAAACAAAATTTGTTTACGGTAAAAAATTCTAGTACTCGATTGCTATACCCTTGCTTATCTCAAGGGTAATGAGATCTGTTCAAAGCTTCCGCGTCAAAGCTCCGCATAGCAACTATTTGGGTTTGGGGCGGTTAAGAAAATTGTCGTCCGCAATAAAATATAAATAATACAGGTGTTGAAAAAAGAATCTTTTCAGGTAGACGAAAAGTGACCACGATATTGGAGTTCATTAATGCCAAAATTAAGAACGCGAGAAAAAAATAACGTTTTCAAATATAGCTTCCCGCTTGCAAGACATCGTCGCCTACGTTATTCCATCTAGAATTTGCTGATCATTCATAAACACTAAGGCTTCCAGAAAACAATATAATTCAATGCTATAATTCCAAACGTTTTCGCCATTTACTGGCAACATCAGGCAAACAAAACACACGAAGGGTGCAACAAAACTATGACAATATAGGTTTGCAAGAAGCCCAAATGCATAAAGCTGTAACTCAGTAAAATACTGGAAAAAGGGAAACAATATATATCACACGCGTAAGCTAAACCTTGTTTAATACTTTATTGTTGCTCAAGATTTAAGGTTCAAATTAAAAACCTCGCAGAATTTTCAAAAAAAACTACAACAATATTGAGAAATATATTCCATCTCGTCCGGCTTAAAATTAAACTAACCGTCTTTCGTCTCTCTTCACCTCAACAACATCATTGAACTTGATTCTCTTTTCTTTACCAGGCTCTGGATGATCTGTTATCTCACTACTTTCATCCATTCTGAAAAAAAATGAAAAAGCATTAATTTGGTCATGTAACATTCGTCTACTGTAGTCACACATGAGGCTTAAGAAAAATAGGCCCTATAACCATTGGCTCAAGAGTCAGGGACACTATCTCTTGTGTTTTTCTACCTCAAATCAGTCGGAGCCAATTCGGTTCGTTTGTGACATGAGACTACGACCCGTTACAGCTTAAAGGCTACTACTAAAATATCCCCCCACTCTAGAATTAAGAACGTCCCCATACTTAGGTCTCTAGATACCCAAAATACATGAACGCCGTTAAAAACCGGGTTGGAACAATCCGTTAAGTTACTTTTTATTAGACGGTGGAACTTTGATCCATTTCAGATGGATCAACCTAAAACTCGCCTTACCTCAACATAACAATCATGAAACACACTCTAGAAATTTAAATTGGTACTCACATTGTAGCACGCTCAAGAATTGGGAGTAATTAAGTCGGTAAGCAACTCAAGAATTAAATAGTGTAACTAAATGAGTTTAATGTTTGCCAGTTTCAACAACAGGAATAAGTTTGTACTCTAGAATGCAGTTTTATGTGGACCATTGGGACACTCAAGCTGTCCACCTTTCCACCGAAGGTTTACTCTGGTCCAGTTCGAATAGTTGACCAGGTGGATAATTGTCCAGTTCTCAGGAACACTCTGTCTTCTATTTCAAATAGGACAGCTCTACTCTAGATTATTATTGTCTCGGAAATTGCGAATGGCAATTTCCTACTGATTTATCTTGCAACTTTCCCGCGATTGTCACTCGATTGTTCTGACTTCTCTTTGACTTTCAGTTATCGCGAGAAAATCGTGCATGACAGGCTCCATTCGAATTTTTGAAAAATTAAATTTCACTCCAAAATCAAGTGTTTTGCGCTTTTCTCAAGGTCAAACTTCCAAATATGACCGACTGGCACATACTCCCCGGACTCGAGATCGATGTCCTCATCGCGTGCTGTCGTCTGCCAGTGAGTCCCCGAAAACCGAGTGTTGCTCAAGGTACAGTGCCAGTGGTCATTTACAGAAGTTTGCAGCAGACTTAAGCTTATCTACACCCCAAAAATTCACGGCCATGTAAAATTCTCACACTATCGCTAAACAGCAATCAAAATCTGCACACACCTGCACCCTTGAATTCTCGCTTTTTAAGCCAATCATTTAAAATTTCTTTTGTCCCATTCAATCAGGAAATTGTCATGCAGTATTTCCTTTTATATAGTAAATATAGTATATTAATAACAATATTTGCATTGTTAAAACTTCTTTTTCGTGAATCCAAGTTTCACCCGGATCCACGCTCAAGCCCCCTTTCCCCTCTCAAGACTCAAGATCCATTCGAACCATCCACTCATCTCGCACTCTTTGTACTAGATACGGTAAACTGTCTCAACAGTTCTTCTTCATCATCGGAGCTAATCACGATCTCCTCCCAAGCCTTCAGCTGTTCGTAGGATCGCATCCATTCTCTTTGCTCCTGCAACCTCATTGCCTGGTTGGGTAGTGCCTTCACTCTAGATTCCCTGTTCAAACAAAAGGAGTTGTGCAGGCTCAAGCTCACGTTCTTCGCCAAGTCTTCCTCTAGTATTGATTCCCTCGCTTTGGTATTGTCTCTAGACATTTTACCCACTCTCTTCCATCCTGTCGTGATCGCATTTCGATGGGTTAACAGGGGTCTCTTGAAAGCTTCCGGCCCAATCTCGGCCTGGAATTGTCGATATTCCTTTTGATGCTTTCTCATGTGATCTTTCGTTGTCATGTATATCCAAGACGTCAGTGTCGCTCGAAAACATGGAAAGTACCTCAAACGGCTCCATATGTGTCTGACTTCCGTTGGTATGGCGAATACTTTGCACGCAGTCTCAAACAACTCGAGTCTCCTGCTGTAGTCTATCGCATATATTGATTCAGCAGTTGGCGTCGTCGCTTCCCGATACTTCGTTATATTCTCATCTAACCATCTCAGAGCCAGCATCGTACTCACTACTAAGAGCGTAACCTTCTGCCGGTGATCCGGTAGTCCGATCGACCGAATTTCTTCTATATCCCACACCAGGCAAAAGTTCTTGTGATCTGGATACCACACCGTTTGTGCCAAACAGTGGCATGGGCATTCTCCATGGGTGATCTCAATGCTCCTGAGGTTACGCTCTCCCGAGGCTTCCAAGAGAGGCTCAAGCTCCATCATTTTCTCATGCATCGTGTCGTTCTCTCCCATGTTTGGAGTACCCCCCACAGGTTTTCCGATCACGTTCTGTCTCTCGTGATTGCTTGTGTTATCACTTTCCAACTTCAAAAGCTCTTCTCCCCAGATTTCACTCAAGTCATCTCTCAACTCCTTCGGTACTGTCCCTCTGATTTTCCTCAACAACTTGTGCGAGTGATGCGATACGCGAGCCAACCTCACGCACTTGGGCACTGAGAAGGCCTTGTCCACCAATATTCTCTGGCTGGATGCTTCCACCATCGCCATGTGCAGTGGGTAGTGGCTTCCGCACAAATTGGCCATCATTGACCCTATCAGGGATTTTGCGTTCAATGGCAGGCCATAAGCTTCGCTCATGGGAAACCCCATTTCCGCCTCGAGACCAACCTTCCAGCTCCGGATATGTTTTTGAGTCACCTGCAACACTCCCGGCCATGATTCCACGCTCAACGCCGTCACTAAATGGTGTTCAGACTCTAGCCTCTCCAGTGACTGCAGACTACACATTCTCGAGAAGAATCCGAGAGCTGTCGCTATGTTCACCTTAGTTCTCGCGTAACACTCCGCCACTATTTGTACTTCACTTTTCTCCCTTTCCGTGATGTCTCCAAACCAAGTAACCAGATCTTCTTTTTGAAAGGACAATATCCTGACACATGATCGTCCATCGCAGGTGCGCTCTCCACTCCCACACGTAGAATCCAGACAGCTACCCGGCTCCATCTTCTTTGCTGACTCGAGACTGTTCGTCTTTTCTCCTGACTCCTTCATCTGAGGTAAGATCAGTTTGTGCACCACACTCAACTTTGCCAAATCTTCATCTTCCGTTGGAGCTAAGCTCACCCGTTCGGTGGTCTCCTCGATCAGACTCGCGTGGGGATGTGGGCACCAGGAGGGTCTTAGTAACTTCCATACCACTCCCAAGTTCGTGATCAGCAAGCCATTGCCATCACCCATGTTCACTTCAACTCTCTTGTTCGAGCGCGGTATGCTCACCACCTCCGGTGTTTTCTCAAGAATCAGGGCCAGGCTCGGCCTCTCTTTCTCCACCGCGTCTATTTCCATTATTCTTTCTGTCCAAAACTTCAGCAGCTCCGCTACCTCGTGGTTCCTGTGAGCGCCTCCAGTTTCTGAGTCTAAGAAGGGGTTGTAGGCTATTCCCATCACTCCTGACACGTATTGGTATTCCCCCTTCTCGCTGGGTCTCGAGTACTGCTCTGACGAGGCCAGGTTACGGTGAACATCATGTTCTTCTTCGAACTTCTTGTTAAAAAACCTCCGCACCTCATCTAGCTTTCTGTGGTTCTCTAGGGATAGTCTGGAACCATCTTCCTTCTCTATTCCAGTACTCTGATACACGTTTAAGATGATCGTTGAGACTCTTTTTTCCACGGTTCTACTTCCGCTTGCTCTTTGGTGGCACGCCAAGATAGTGCTGTCAGACATCATTGACATTATCCATCTCAAGAAACATGTGGCATCCTTCCTCCTAGCCAGGCTCAAGCCTGAATTATCCCTGGCCACGTGTTGCATCAGTGCTTGATACACATCTAGCTTCTTGCTTCCCAACTTCAGCCTGTCATATGAGGTCAATGTCTCTAACTCTATTCCCACCAGACTCCAGGTGAACATCAATTGTCCTGCGGTTCTAATGAAGGGATTCGCCATCAATGGCGGTGCTGATGAGGATGTCCTCATTGCCTCTTCGAAATGATCCTTCAACAAGTTCTGCCAGGACCTCTTCAGCTGATTCGCCAATTCTATCTTGTTAACCTCAGCCTTTTGCTGGGTGGCCCAATTGCGTCGTTTGCGAGCCACTCCACTGTCCAACTTCTTCAAGCAGTCTTCCATTTCCTTCAATGTCTCGAGGGCCACCCACCATGTCCGGGAGGTGTTCCTTGTTTTGTTCCTCTCCAGTGGATCACTCGTCACTTGCTTCCCCGTGGCCTGGTGTGCCTTCGAAACCCATTCTTTGCCGACATCCACTTCCCATGTCTGTCCGCTCGTTGAACCTCTCTTCACGTTTATCTTCTGAGGCTTAAAGTCTTCCTCCGATGTCGAACTGGTGGAAGCCTCTATTTCCCTCTCTACTTCGAGTGGTCTTCTGAGCTCCGTGTTGCTCTTGTATGCCGCCGTCTTGCATCGAGCCAAAACCATGGGCGCCGTCTCTCTCAAGTTTCCTTCCGAGACAGCATCCACTGAAGGACTACCCAATCCCTCCACTTCTCTCTACCTCTTGCGAGTTTTCACATCTCTGCTTGAGGGTGTTGTGGTTACCATCACTGATTCGACCTCTCTGTCTACCTCCAACCCTTCCAACTCTTGCCTCCCCCTACTCGAGCCATTATTACTTTTAATCATATTACTAGTCCCAACCTTATCCCCTTCTATATCATCAACTATTTTATCTACAGTTTTTTGTTTCAGAGTAGAGCTGTCTTCACATTTTTCTTCTCTAGTCTTCGATCATGAATTCCTCAGCTCTATCAGCTTGTTCAGCAGCTCTTTTCTCGCCTTCTCATCCAGGCCCGTTCCTATCAGAAGCGGAACTCCAAACTTCACAACTGTGTCCCACAGTTCCTCCTTGAATTTGTCCAGCGTCGTCTCGCTGCCCACTTCTTGATTGAACTCCTTCAAGAACTCCTGCCAAGCATCGTCCTTCAGAGACCCCAGGAACATGTCCCTATTTCCTTCGAAAGTATTCTTTTCCCTTTCCTCCGAGCTCAAGAGTATCATCCCCATATTGGACGTCTCGCTTGCCAATGGCAACTCCAGATTCTTCAGGGGGGACGGGGTCAGCGGTGGAGTGGCAGTATCTGCCCAATTCTCCTCGCTCAAGTCTTTCAACAGCTCTTGAGTGGTGAGCTCCTCCCCTGATGGTCTCGGTTCAGGCGTATTCCCCACTTCCATGTCCTCACCGGCTTCGCTGAGAGTTTCATCCATACTCTCTTCTTCTGACTCATTTCTTCTTCTCTCGAGAATTCTTTTGAACCGGTCCTCCACGAGTCCACTCCTCTTGTCTCCAGGTGTATCCACTGACAGTGGTGATGGTGTCGCCGGATCCAACCTCTTGTATTCCGTCAGGGCCACGTACAGTTGACCTGCAGCATCCAGTTCTTTTCCTTCCTGTCTCATTTCCACCTGTTCTAAGCCGTAGGGTGCCCTATACTTTCTTGTTGCAAATTTCATGTCGTCCACCAACGCGACATGCCCCTCCATCATGATCATCCTGCCATCATCCCATATTGGTAGCATATTATCCAGTCCCTCCTGCTCAAGAGCTCTCAAGACCTTTCGCACCTCATATCCAGGGGGCTGCGAGCCTCTCATCTTTTTTGCTTGCGTCGTCCACGAGTTTATTTTCGCCTCACTAGTGTGGAAGTAAACCGCCGCCGTATAGCC